CCCCTCTACCCCTGAAGACAGGCCTATCCCTGTTATGAGGTAGCCTGAGGCTGCTGCCTAAGGTGGCATGTCTTTGGTCATGTGGGGGGAGGCAGGCAGAGCGGCATGGCCATGTGCCTTCTGCCCCCTTTCCAGACAGAACATTCAAGGTTGCTAAGGGCAATCTGGGATGCTTTGGTCAGCATCCCGTCCAACTCCTGGCAACCAGTGGCGTCAGTGGCTTCCAGGAGATGAACGGGACGGACTCCCACCCCCTCTTCCCGGTTAGTGTGCACCCCAAAACATTTTTTGGGATAGAATGGTGAAGGGTTAGAATCCCTGTACAAAAAAGCCACCACACCACCTATGTACTTCAAAAATTGACTGAGATCGAAATGCAAAAGTGGTCACATAAAAAAGACAAGAAGGTACATAGAATCCACCAACATTGAACACTATGTGCCACCCTATCATTGTTATGTGACCACAATACAGTTTTGGGTTACATGGGCAACGTACCGGCTATTCCTTGTAATTGAGCTATAACACGGCATCAGGACCCAAATATTGGGCTTATGGTTATGGTGATGAATGGATTGGATGTTTTTTTTAACGTTTTTCCTGCTGTCTGTGTCACCATTAGGGAAATTCACGCTTGTCCTGATCATCAGTGTCACCGGGAATGAAAGTGAGGGGAAAATCCAAAATTTTGAGTTGCCACCAGAACAGGAATTGAGGGGAGACTTTCCAAAAGGGACACTTGTTCTTGTGACAACATCTGAGGGGAGGGGATTTGCCTCACGTTGGAAAAAAAATCTTCTCACTTCCTGTTGAGTCTACAGGAAAGGACGTGAAGGGAAATCTCTCTAATGGAATACAGATGGCAGAAAATGAATTGAAGGGGGTTTTAGATATACTTTAAGTTGACACAAAACTAATATAATTTCCATTGCATGCAATCATTTAGCAGGATCTTCCATTTTAAACAAAAGTGGACCCTTTGACACAGACACCCCTTGTAGAATTTTGGAGGCTGTAGGAGATTTTTAATACAGTAAACTCCCCATTATCTGGCATCCACGGGATTGGTAGATTCCGGATAAATGTAGTTTCTGGTTGCTTGAGAGTTACTATTAAAAATAGGTCTGACTAATGCCATACTATTCCGTACCATACCATAACATAAACTCTGTATTGATCTCATATTAATGTTAAAATGCCATAATCAAAAGCTAATTAATACAAATAGGCACACATCATTTCCAGGATAATACATGTAGCAGAACAGCGAGTACACAGGGGATTTTTTATTCTGGTTAGATGAGTTCTGGTTAGTTGAACACCGGAATACAGAGTTTACTGTACATAAATGTAGTTGTAATGACCCCCCATCACCACTAGATGGCGCAGCATACAACCGTGTAATTATATAATCAGGCTTGGAATGGTTTCATTCATAAATAAATGTAATAGATAAACTCTTGATGTAAAGCTATCATTTTTTTTTTGGTAATTTGTTGTTTTTTTTTTAGCGTGCACGTTAAGATTCTTTACCAAATATACATAGATAAGAAAATAAATCAGAATTATTGGCCAAGTATATACAGGCATACAAGGAATTTGTGTTGGTTTAAAGGTTTAAAATGGCTTTTGGTGCAGTTTGCACATAGCTAAATAGTCATGCATATATGTGGGCCCGCACATACACACCTATACATACATTAAACCAGATTCGTCACTATGCTAGGTGCCACCAGGTGCAGCCGTCGGGGTATCACCCAATGGCACATCATTATGCATGCAATTGACGTCATGCGCACCTAACTGCCGACAAACCATCTTGGTAATGGACACCGGCAAAGAGAGGAGGGAATGTTCATCTGGCGGGATAAGGAATGCCGCCGGGTCCCCTCCACTTTGGTGCAGCTGTCGGGCTCTCGGTCCATGAGCAAGTGCCCGGCTTTTCAAAGGGGGTGACACCAAAATGACTGCTGGTCATTTTGGTGTCACCTCCTCTGATGATGTCACCCAGTGAAGGTCGCACCCCCCGCACCTTCTTTGTGACACTCCTGATTAAAACAACACAATATGCAAGTCATAAGCTGGACACGCCTCAAATTTCTGCTGAATCAACTGAAATTTGAGCTGTCAATGGCCCTGACATCACCCTCACATCCATGACACTAATTTTGTGACGCATTCTGGGCTTTCCATAAGAAAGTCCAGCATTGCATGTGTACCTCTTCGGAGCTACACTACACACTCCCTTTACAGGTGTGTCCTGCTTTCCCTAAGGAAGCAACCCTGTTTAGGCAGCAGTCACTTGTTTGCTATGGTGAAATGTTTTCTCACTTGACCCGAGATCCCCTTTACAGTAACACATGCATCATTTATTTTACACATTTATTTAGCACCGACCCTTATACCTTCTCAGTCCATCAGTCCCTGCCCCAAAAGACACCAACAGCCAGTGGCGGAACTATCGCCATAGCGACCCAGGTGGCCCGGGGGACACAGGGGGTCCCGGCCAGGACAAAGAACAAAGGGGTCGTCCTGATGCCGTGCAGGCCATCTGGGTCGCTATGGCATCGCAGGCTGTCACTGGTGGTTGTGAGGATCAACCTGTCAGTGATCTGTGCAGCGGCGCGTTCCTCCTCACAGCTGCTGCTGAGTTGGTGACAGCCAGCAGCTTACAGGGGAGGAGGCCCGATGGTGGCAGCCTAGGAGGAGGTGAGGCCCGGTGATGGCAGCCTAGGAGGAGGTGAGGCCCGATGGTGGCAGCCTAGGAGGAGGTGAGGCCCGATGGTGGCAGCCTAGGAGGAGGTGAGGCCCGATGGTGGCAGCCTAGGAGGAGGTGAGGCCCGATGGTGGCAGCCAAAGCCCAACATAGAGAGTCTCTGGTCACTCTCAGGTGGGCTGTGTGGGACGTAACTAGAAATCCCATACTAAATTTTGCTACGGGGCCCTGTGATTTCTAGCTACGCCCCTGCTCACAGCTTTTCTTTCAAATTAAAAGATACACACACACTCATATGTAGGACGATGGGAATCGGATCTTAAGGTGACTAAAACGGCTGAGGAATGGGAGGGGCTCTGGAGTTATCTAGCTAGCTGTTCCCTGAATATTACTAACATGGAAGTCGCCTCTAAAGTAATGATACAATGGTATATGGTCCCTCCAGGATCTCTCATATGAATCCTTCCTGTTCTAATCCATATTTTAGGGGTTAGAATCTGGTTAGTGACATGTTACATGTTTGGTGGACGTGCCCATTTAGTTCAGCTTTTTGGTTTCCTAGAAGCATCCCTAAATCTTCCTGGATAGCTTTTCTGAATGGTAATGTGGGCGGGCTATTTAAGGCTCAACTTGCTCTCATGCACCATATCCTCTTTTATTGGCCTACATTTGGCTGTTTTGTTTATTGAGAATTGAGCAGCATACTATGTGATTTTATTGGGGGGATAACTTGTTCCCTCTACATACACAGTTTATTTTCTATGTAACCTTATCTTTGTTGTGTTTACTGTTTAAAATGTTAATAATGATTTAAAAAAAATGTAAATAAAAAACATCCACACACGCACATACCAGGGCTGCCTTAGGTAGAGAGCAAAGGGATACTCTAGAGAAAATATGTAATTGCAAATTCTCAGTGTTCTTTGTGCAGCCACTTTTTATATCCTGATGCCGGCCTAAGACATTGGCCATTGCCTGCTCATGGTAAATACAGCCTATTATATAGTGCAAGATCAGTACATCTCACCTCCTGGATCAGAGCCCGGAGATGTTGGTGCTGTGACATCATGAGGTGTTGCAGGTGGTCAATCTGCTCTTGTACTGTAGAGACTTTTGTCTGCATTGCCACACAACTAAAACAAAGGAAGATACAGGTTTACTCTCTCAGTATTATACAATGAAACTGGGATCTGCAGTCTTACTACCTATAGTGACCCAAACTAGGCAGGTGTGATTAATTTTGTTCCGAATCAAAATTCAGATAACTTTTTCAAAATTCGGACATTCGGACACAGACAAATTTCCGAATCCCAATGCATCCGAATGTGTCCCATACGAATTTCCGTTTCCGAATTTTGGATCCCGTCCGAAGCGCCAACAATTATCCCACGCTCAAAGGCTGTTAAATCGCGTTGTTTACCCGTATCTTCAGAAACAAATCACTTCTACCGTTGTGGTAAACAACCTGCTTCCCTATTTATAATGGTCTGGCCCTCTAGCAACTTCAGCGCGAAATTATAGCTAATTTGCCTACAAACTTCAGGTGGTCATAATAATCTGGCCACTCAGTGTATATACACACACACCATATATATGGTTTTCTGTGGTATTCGCAACAAATATTCGTAAACTCATCCGAAACTAACGAAAATTCAGATAGTTAAAGAACAATTTTACATGTTCCTCTCATGTGCTGAAACATATTACTTTGATTCCATATCTCATCATTTGGCTCTCAGTTTTTTTGAAAATGAGGACCCCATTTATAAAGCAGTGAATGTGACTTCCACCAAACATTCACTAGTAGTGAATCTCTGTCATTTAAAAATACATGCACCTGGAAGATTTACCTGTAAATGTTTGCTAAATGTCAAATTCATGGCTTTATAAACATGCCCCCTGGTGTGTCAACTTTGTGAATTGAGCCTTTTGCCCAGGTTGTAGAAAATATCAGATGACTGACCCGTTCCTGTTGAATGGATCTCCTGTTTGTTTGATCAGTTCATTCTCCAGTAAATGCTTCTTTTCCATCAATGCTGCTTTTTCCTGAAAAACACAAAAATGTAGTTTGCGTGTGATTGGATGAGCACTGTGCTTGAAGACAAATGCTTGCCAACGTTAGTCTATCTGCTGGATTCTCTTCATGTGCCAAAGCCCCCCCACCAAAACCAGTGACATGCGGTACCTTCGGTGCTGGGTGAGGCATTCCCCAGCCAAGCCCCCAGCATGCCAAAGCCCCACCCTCATGCCGACTAAGACACCCCCCCTCCCCAACCCAGTCACCAAGCTAGTGTGAAGGAGGGAGGAGGAAGGGAGAAGACAGGGAGGAGTCTCCCTGTCCCTCACTTGCTCGTCACTGGTGAGGCATCGAGGTCAATGCCGTCAGTGTTTTTTGTTTTTTTTTATTGGACAGCTTGGACCGATGGCGCTTTGCCATTGGTCCAAACCATCCGCAGAGTTCAAGCCTCTAACAGAGTAGAGGCTGTTGCAGCTCTTGCCTCACCAAGTCAGGTTACACAAGTAGTAGGGAAGCCTGCTGCTGTGTAACCTAACTTAGCTTCAAAAGCCGGATGCAGCGCTCTCTTGGCTGCCTCCTCTTACTCACGCGCATGCTTTCTCTCCTCGCTCTCCTCGCTCTCTCCTCTGTCTCTCTGCTGTCTCTTTTCTCTCTCTCTGCTGTCTCTTTTCTCTCGCTCTCCTCTGGCTGTCTCTTCTCTCTCTCCTTTTGCTGTCTCTTCTCTCTCTCTCTCTCCTGGCTGTCTTTCCTTACATGCACTGCTGCAGCAGCTTCCCGGCTCTTCTCTCATGTGCTCCGTCCTGCCCTCCTGCTGTGCTGGTGTGGCCGAATGTGTCCGCCCCTTCCCGTCTGCAGCGTCTGACACATTCAGCCACACTAGCACAGTGGGAGGGAGCTCCGGTCAGTGAGCCAATCGCGATCTACAAGTGTTTGCTTTGTAATTGACTGGCAGATCGTGATTGACCTAATGGACACCCCTGTCCTAAATGATGACCACTAACAGTCACAGATCAGCCTTCAGATGAGTCAGAAGTTCAACTGAGAGAACATTTTCAGAACCCCCTAAAGCTCCAGTACTCACGTCTTCCATTCTCTCCATCAGCTTCTCCAGTTCGAGGATTCGTCCATGTTTTTCTTGTATCTTCTCAGCCACCTCGTTCAGTTTCTGAACACTTTTCTTAAATTGATCTTCATGTTGGACGGCAGCAATCTGTAAAAATTTCATACTGAAAGCCCATCACTTTTATCAGTTTTACTAGACATTTCCTCAGCTCCCGCGCCTGCCACCCCATGTAGACCTCAGCGATTTGTACATCTCCTAAGAGCTGATAGATAGATCTGGAAATAATTTTGAGATTACCCATGAAAGCTAAAGCTGAACTTCCATCCAGTCTTGCAAAGTTGAATCGTCTCCTTTCTTGGACTGCAATTGCTTACTCTGATTTGACTGTACACTGTGAGCACCTAACAGGAAGTCAGATAGAGCCCACCTCATTTACTACCTGGAGGACATCCAGCAACATCCAGCTCTTTGATCCGTACCTTTACTGCCCCTAGAATGCCCCTTTCATTCATTGGATTTCAGCTCTTTCAATCATGGAAGCTCAGCATAACATATGAGCATTACCTAGGGTGATCTGCATGCAAATACAGCCTAGGAAAGCCCACTCCTCCAGACTGACATCCACCCATCAAGGCATTTTTATATTTGCATAACTCCTCCCAGCTAGTGGTACTGTAATACAAAATACATTTTATTTTAGAATAATTTAATTTTCTATATATTTTATTCCCAATGTAAAGGAAATTTGCTCTTTCCAGCTTGACCAGTTATGTATTAACTCTTCAACTGCCAAGGACACGTCCTTGGCTGCCATGAACTTTTTTTAAAATCCATCCAATGGCACTGCCCTGTAATGTAGAAGTGATCTGGAAAGCTGTACTAAAGCTAATGAGGAGTCATTTGTTGGCACAAGAACAGATCCAGAATAGTTGGAAGGTGTTTGTAAACTCTAAAGGAACCATTTAAAGACCAATGCACCCTGAATAGATTGGCTACATTGAATTTTGCCAGAATCTTCAGAATTTCACCACTGTGCTTGTACAAGAAAATGAGAGACAGCGGCCGCATCTGTCAGTGGCAGTCAGGGCTGGATTTCCCACAAGGCCACTGAAGCCTGGTCTCGGGGAGGTAAGGAGCAGAGGGGTGGTAGGGGTTTAGAATCTCCCGATGCCCGGGACATGCAGTTCTAAGCGGGTAATTTTCTACATTTAGCCCTACTTTGGGAAAGCAGAGCTAAATGTAGAGCGGAGAAGCCACTCGTTTGTGTACAAGTGATTTCAGAGATGTCGCCAAGATCATTTTAATAAGACTGCAGGTCTTGATAAACAAAAATTAAAAAAAGTACAAAATAAAATAAAAAAATAGAAAGGGGGTGTGCATTGAGGAACCTGGCCTTGGGGCAGCAGAGAGGTTAAATCCGGCCCTGGTGGCAGTCCATATGTTATCATACATGATACAATTACATGTGGTTTGGATTAGATGATTGCTGCGGGATGCCTCTATCCTGCATCCAGGAACAATCATCTATCCCAAACCACATGTAATGGTAATGTACTTCATAGGGTACAGCGGCCATATCTGAACAGGGAAGGAATCTTTAGGCTCCTGCTGCAGGATTGCCAGATTGCCCCAAGGGAATAAGGCATAAGCCATCTGGCATCCATGCTTAACATAGATATTATTTTGGGGTGGACTGACCCTTTAGTACTAACTGATTCAATTACTGTAGTTTGGCTGTAATCACCGGTTACCTGCAATTTCTGTTTCTCTTCTTCATGACTCTTCCGTAGTTGCTCAGACTGTTTGCCGTAGTTTTCATACAGCTTACGCGTGGCGTCTCTTAGTGCTCCCGCTCCGGCTTCACGCGTCGCTTCCAGCTACAGCAGAGACATTGCAACACAAAATTATTTTAGGAGACATCTAATGAGCATTCTATTGCTTTTGATGGTTATCCACAATTTATAAATGAACACTAATGCCTCTTACTAAAGAAGTCACCACATACGTGAGCTATGCAGGAACATTATATGGCCAAGAATAAGTGGACATCCCTCCTAATGATTGAGTTCATGTGTTCCCAGTGAAGGGTGCTGATAATGGTACAGCATACAAAGACATTTGTATACAGTTGTGCTCTTTCAACCTTGTGGGAACAGTTTGGGGAAGGTCCTTCCCTATTCCACCATTGCTGTCTCCTGTGTACAAAGCCACAGGACCCAGCTCCATAAAGACATTGTTTCATGAGTTTAGTGTGGAGGATCCCAAGAGGTCTACACCGAGCCCTGACCTCAACCCTACTGAACACCATTGGGATGAATTGGAACGCTGATTGCGAGTCAGGTCTTTTCATCCAACATCAGTACTTGACCTCATAAATGCCCTTGTAGCTATATGGCCACAAATGACCACAGATACACTCCAAAATCTTGTGAAAAGGTCTTCCCACAAGAGAGGAAGGATGTCATAGCCACAAAGGAAGGAGGGGGACAACTCCATATTAAAAGAGAAGTATAGGGTAAGTGTTTTTCTCCATAGTACTCTTTAGGGTCATGGGAGGACATATACTAACCTCCTCCCGTGACCCAAAGTTCAGTATATTGTGGGCTATTGCCCGCAATATACTGTGAGCGCCGCAGTCGGGACGGATCCCAACATTACTGTCGAGATCCACCCAGCTGCGTGAGTGACAGCTGGTTCTGCCTATCTAGAGGCAGAGCCAGCTGTACCCGCCCCCTCCCCCGTCCGTTCCTCCACTCAGCGCTGGATGATCGGAGATGGAGGTGGAATCCCTGCGGGGAGCGGTGACTGACAGTTGCCGCTCACTGCAGGGAGACGTTCGGGAAGTGAGCGGATCGGTGGCACGTTTCTGCTCACTTTCCAATCGATAGAGCCAACCTGTGACAGCTTCTTTGCCACACATCGGCTCTAACTATGAGGATGAGTGGAAATCACTCCCCTCATAGATCTCCTTTATTGTCCAATGGTCAAATGTGTACAAACTTTGGCTGTATAGTGTAGACAGTATATTCTACCTGTCATAAGTTATGCAAACCCAACTGGCAAACTCAAAGAGAAGTTTATATTTTATAGTTCATTTTAATACATGCAAACGTTCTGTTTATTGCACCTTACAGTATAAAGAATAATATTAAATATTTAGAGGCAATATGAACACTATAAAAGTTGCATACATTTGCAAATATATAAAATACACAAATCAGTATAAAGATGCCTCTGAGAGGGTGAACTATTTTTCCAACTATATAGACCATTTATTGTTGATCCCATTGGTTTTTTTCTTATTTTACAAGCCCATTGGGTCTCATTCATAATGTTGTAATAGCACTTAAAGCCCAATTCCACTTTCTAGCAGTCCCTAAAATAAAAATCCCTCTGCCCTCTGAATGACACTGAGCTTCCTTTAAGCCGAGGGCATCAAGGACCAGCCCCCTGGGTGTACATCACCACAGAAGTAAGAAGATGACTCCATACATCACATGATCAAAGACAAGACGGCTCAGGAACAGGCTGGAATATAGATGACCCATAGAAATGGATGAGGCCATATGAAATAGGAAAAGGAGCCGGTGGGGGCATTTTCGGGAAGAATAAATAAGAGGATCTTGCTGCACTCTTTACTGGATATTCCCAGTAATGGGGAGGGTGCTTGTAATGACTGCAGATGGCGCCGCTGCATGTATAGAATAGTCGTGAAGAATGTCACCAGCACAGCAAAAATCCTTTCAGGATCACCAACTGTTCATTTTATTCAACAATTTGTCAAAAGTGAAAACAAGTGCTTTTGGGGCCACATCGTTGATGTTTGAGCCTGATGAAGGGACCCTGCGTGGCCCCGAAAAGCGCTTGTTTTCACTTTTGATGAATTGTTCAATAAAATGAACAGTTGGTGTGATTTTTGCTGTGCTGGTGACATTCTTCACGATTATTTTCGGGAAGAAGGCTGTGCGGCACCAGTCAGCGCCACACAGTAAACATCTCTGGAACAGGGAAGAAGGTAAGTATATAACGTTCTTCATTTATGGGGGTGGGGACTTACAAAGGTCAAGTTCACTAAACTGAACTTGTCCGTAAAGGGTCATCATTGAAACCGCAACAACGAGCATCGTATTTGTACTTTTGTGTGCACCCCCTAATTCAATAGGCTGTGCACACCAATGCTATTGATTAATTCACTCCTCTGCTGGTAGTCTGTTCCAAGCTTCTCATACCAAAACAAAACAAAAAATTGACTAAAAATATATGCACTGTAGAGCTAACATAACATTCCATCCTGCTATATATCGGCCACCGAAACATATCTCCCGAAAATGGCATTTTTGGCATAATGCCGAAAGTGCCATTTTCTGGCCGATACAGCGGTGCATCCCTTTATTCTCTCCTCCCGCTGGGCGCTGCTCTGTATCTCAGCGGGGAGGAGAGAAACTGTCACAGTATTTTCTGAATGAATGGGAAGCCTCTGTACTGAGTGATTTATATTCATTTAGAACAGAATCTGCAGAAAGAGATTGAGGACTCTGTGTCCCCAATCTCTTTTTCTCTTTTAAAAGGGAAATATTAGGGGTCTGTTTAGACCCCTAATATTTCCCCAAAGCCCCTAAAAAGTAAAAAATATTTAATAAAAAATTAATTCATAAATATAAAAAAATGTAAAAGTTTATAAAAAATAAAATATTTTGAAAATGTTGAAAACTTTAAAATAAAAACATGTTCGGTTTTGGCCTGGCTTTTTTTAAAATTTCGGTTTTGTTTTGGTTTTGAAAATTGCACTTCGGTGCACCTCTAGTCATAGGGACTCGTCACGTCAGACAACCAGTCTCAAAACAAAAACATTAAATATGGACATGAGAGGATCATACACCAATCCAACCATCTTTAGGGGTAGGCAAACTTCGGTCCTCCAGCTGTTTGCAACTACAAATCCCATTAGGCTCTGCAAGACTCTGCGAGCCACAGGCATGACTCCCAGAAGCAGATGCATGGTGGGTAGTTTCACCACAGCTGGAGGGAATAAAAACATCCCCAGTTCCCATCATTCCTCTGAGAAAAGCCAATGTCGTAGACAGTTGGTTTACCTCCATTGCTTCATTATTCAGTTAAACATGCATGCTTTAGTGCTCTATGGAGACGTGAGCATGCATGTTTATGAGAATGACAGGAGGATGGTCAGACCAGGCCTGAACATTTAGCCGACTGAGGCTGCCAGTTAGTGGATGATTGTACCTTTATCTGTAGATCTTCATTTTCTCTGTGCACATCTTCAAACTGCAGGTCCTGGTCCTTTAACTTCTCAGCGATTCTCTTGTACCGTGAGGCAAAAGAATTGTCCTCTTGTGTGCAGCCATTTTGTTGTAGGTGGGAGGCATTCTAAAAAGGAAAACAGAGTTTTGACATTTTGGAAAAACTTTACAGAAAGTCTCAAAAATAAAGTTTTTTTAATCAGCAGTAATGGATCCAACCCTACTGATGAACTTAGAGATCGGTCACCGAGAGCTGGAGATGTTTCTCACAGCAAAGCTGTGCTCTCACCTTTCCTGATGAAGCATTCTTGGGTCCTTTAAAAAGATTAGTTACAGAGTGTTCTGGCATCTTAAAACCTGAAGTGCTTCGATATACAAATAGCAACCGAAGCTGCAATAGTCACATTCGGATTCCCTGTTTGTCACCTGTACACAGTGCCCAGTGAAGCTGTCACTGGTAGTCAATAGAGAGGCCCAGGGGATGATGGGGAGGTGGGAGAAGGTAGGCTGGAGTTTATCCATGCCTTATCTGAACACCATTGCCCATAGGGGTAACCCTATATCTGTTACAAATGATCTGGAGATGTCTGGTTAATGAAAAATATGCAATCAATTCCCCAATCAGTGCTTTTGGTTGTTGTTCACAGAGCTCAACAGCTTAAGATGACATTTAAAAAGACCCTGTCAGAATTCAGACCATCAGGTCTCTGGAAGAAAAGATCTCTTATACTCACCTTTCTGACCCTTATATTACTACAGGACAGAGGTGTCTGACACTCCCAGAAGTGTTGAATCCAGAAGACATAGAGAGGTTGCAGTACTGAAAAGAAGTGGAGGATAAAACACATGGGAGAGGTGGGTATATGAGCTCTTTTCTTCCAGGAACCAGGCAGCTTGAATTCTTTAGAGACCTGGATAATTCAGAATTCACAACAGCAGCTCCACTCTTGCCCTCTTTTCTGCTGTGTACTGTGGGCTCCAAATGAAATTTTAGTTAGTCTACAGAGTCTGAAGGAAAATCCATGAAAATTAAAAGGTCACCTTAGTTTACAGCCCACCATCCTACCAAATACAAAAACAAGAAACCCAAATACTTAATTTGGCCCTTCTCCTGGCACTTCTGAGTGGTGCAGCTGTTGTCATGGTGCCTCCCATGAGAGCTGTCAGTTAAATGTAGGAACCCCATTACCAACTTCAGAGAAGAGGGAAAGATGATAAGATTGCCTAGTACAGGCAGTTGGTGGAGCCACTTCCCTTGTCTATGCATATATTTTTACAAATCTAAATCATGATGGCTGAAGTACATTACACAGTGCTATTCAGCAACTCTACAAGGTGACCATTAGACATGTAAGCCGTGGAAAAATTCAGTTTGGTTCGGATATTTTGTGAATTCTGTGTCAATGAGAAATGATTTATTAAATGGTGTTTGTCAAATAAATATTTTTTATAAATAAAAAAAAAAAAAAAACAGATATAAAACTAAGTTTAAAAATGGAATCTTAAAAAGAAATAGTCACCTAAGATTGACACGAAACCAATATAGTTTTCTTTTTTAAATGACACCCAGAAACAAAATAAAAAAATACTATCACAACTGATTCTTATCATCATGTGTTAAAGACAGGATAAAGCTGGAACAGGGCAGGATAGGCATATACACCCTGTTAGTACACACAGCATGTCAATAACTCACACTTCATCTGGTTTCACCAACCCAGTGATAACTTAAAGCAAACAACCACAGGAAACAATGTGTGTGCAAACAAAAGAAAAAAATAAATTTAAGATCTCCAAATCTTTCTATAAACCCAGAAGAAAAATATATCTATATATAGTGCACACTGCTGTCATGAAGCTGGGCATTTTTTTAAATGTACAGTAGTTGATTGCATTGCCAAACATGTTGGTTCTGATCCACTTTATATACATTTTAAAGTGTCTCATGCAGTAAAAAAAATTGGATCAAAGATCTGCAATGGAAGAGCTTTTATACTCTCTGGTGGCCATTGTCTCTCACCTACCCTCCCTTACAGCATTGCAGCCTTCATTAGACTCTTTGGTACTCAACACTTCCAGGAGTGTTGGATTCTTGTGTCCCTCACTATGCACCGTGGTTCTATCCTCTGGCCCCTTTACTACTAAGTCCTGTAGTTACATGGGGATCCCGAACATGTTGGCTACCAACGAGTAAGAGGATAAAGGTTGGAATGAAGGGAAGGTAGGAGCTCATTTAAAGCAACCCTGATATTATGCAAAAATATCCACCTAGCACACATTTATGGAGACATCAATCCTTCAAGAGCCACAGTTTCATTTGCCCGTGCCCCCCATCTCCCACTTTGGTTTCCATCGCCAGCCCTTACATCACTACAGGAAACAGAGATGATGTAAGGGTCGGCAAAACGATCTACAGCTCATAGCAGGGGCCAAATAGCTGACAAGTGTGTCAGATGCTGAAGATTCTTCACCGGCTGTAGTTTTTAAAGGTAAAAATTCCACAAATAGGTGACGGGATAGACAATTATAATCATCCCTCTTATGCAGGGTGCTTCTTATTCATTTTTTTTATAGGGTTAGAGTCACCTTAATCCCACCCCACCATATTATTTAGGATAATGTGCAAAATTAGCAAGCAATTCCTTTATTTCCCAGGGGCCAGCAACAAGTACTGCAGATCAGTTTGACAACATTTCAGCAACTGCAGACTGAATGGAAAGGTCATTTCTTCTGATCTCACCTTCCACTGCCCTATGCTGCATTTACTTTATAGGTCTGTAGGGACATTCACGACCAGAGTATATAGTACAAATCCTGGAGGCATCCAAGTACCAATAGGCACTTGCTAAAGGTGAAACGCATCATTACTAAATACTCAGACCTGGGTATTTGCATATGTGACCTTACAGAAGTAAAGTGAAAACAAAAAATATCAGGATTTTTGGCATCTCTGCCAACGCGCAAAGTCTCTTCTGCCAAAAACATACTCCCCTCTCCCCCAGCACTTTTTTATTTGCAATGTATACTGTACAGTACATGAGCAGTGCAGTGTACTCTCCTAGCTCATTCACAGCATCTCTGAGTTGCTGTGAGTGGGCCTAATACTGTTGAGGATTTATCAGTGGTCACCCAATAGCCAAAGGAGGATACCTGGGAACCTGGAAGTGGCGTTGATGGTGGCGGGGGGGACATAGTGGGGGAAAGAAGTGCAGGACAAAGGCACAATTGAAGTAAATGTAGCATAATACAAATGCTACAATAATGTTATGGCAAAAACCAATCCAGGACGCAGCAGTTTACTACCGCTTGATGAATTTCATAGGGGTTAATCATATAGACCTTACAGTGAAAAGCGTCAGGGGAGGAGCCCATATACAGCAGAATGTTGTTGCTTAGAAAAGAATAAAGATTCATGAAAAAAGAAAGTAGTGGTAGTGCAGCCATTTCTTCACACATTGGATGCTATCTGTGGGATGAATCCCGGTAGGCCTGAGAACTCATGGCCGGTTACTTACAAAGTACTCACTCTTTGGCTGGGAGAGGAGCCAGAATGTTATTTATGTGTTTAGTAATGATATACATTTTTTAGGGGAAGTTGTGTGTTCCTTTATGGTGTTGTGATTCTAATAGGGGATAATGGCTGCCCCCATAATTCCCATGTTCTGCATACGTACCCCCTCCAGTGCAGTCTTCCCATTACTTTCATCTGTAAACAGCTGACTTTGAATCTTCTCTAAAGTTCCTCTGATCTGGATGGGAAAACAAAAACTGCTTACATGAGGAAAACTTTGTATTTTATTAAACAAGTGCTCAGTCCACACCGCGATACAACTGCCAGATGCTTATTTTCTTTTCAGCTTCCCAAACGCATGCAGATCCTAGGTGAACCGGTGGTCAGGCTATAAGTATTTACATATTCCTAATAGGAAGTAAAGGAGATTGAAAACTCTCACTGACCTTAATAGCTGTAGACACTCATCCTCAAAGTTCACAGCAGAAGCAGTTAAGTGGTCCATGTCAATGTCTCAGCAGCTCAGCTCAATCTGATTACTCCCAAAATAATATAAATGTAGAGAGCAGGGGGAGCGGAGCTGAACCTGAACAAACTTTACTGCTTCGGCAGCGAATGTTAAAGATTATTTGCTCAAGTCAGTCAGGGCTTATCGAAAAAGTCTGCCTACTGCCTTTTAAGAATATGTACGTACTTGAATGTCTATTGCCTCACCACAGACTCAGTTTAAGCACTTCTTGCCGGTGTCAACATGGCGGCATAAATGCATCCAGCTGGTGCATTGTTCTGGGGTCACTCGTACTCTCCCAGCACATTCACCAAGCTGTCAAAGACAGCAAAATGTAGCTGTTTACGATCGGGAGCCAGTGGGACAGGTTCCTGCCCACCTCTCCTCATTCAGAACTCCCTAAGGCTGCGTTCACACCTGACCGTTTTGTAGGGCGTTCTACGCTCGACGAACGCTCTACAAAACGGTCAAAAATATAAATTGCATTGTAGTCAATGCCCTCGTTCCCGCCTCGCCGTATTTCCGCCCGTCCCTGATGCCCTACAAAACGGCCCACGCCTGAAAAGGTCCCGGGACTACTTTGGGCCGTTTTGTAGGGCGTTTTCCATTTGGATACTGCCAAGTAGCCTTTGGAATCGCGTGGCGGGCGCACACATTTTTTTACCGCGCATCGCGGTAAAAAAAACGCATGACGGTCGTGCGACAGACGCGCATATTACAATACGCCTAGGTGTGAATGGGGCCTAAAGGGCCCGCAGGAGGCAGCTCCAAGGGGTTAATGTACACATTGAAAGTAGCAACAGTCTAGCTGTCCCATTCATGAGGGTTGCACTTTAACCCAGCAATGGCTGTAATGTAGTAATGAGAGATCAGTGATGCCTTCCATGATCACAGACATGCACATATTACTTGCAGCACATTGGGCAATCACATCACAGTGGCTGAATGCAGTGCTTGTAATATGCACCCCAACTAAACTGCAACCAATTGTACAGCCGTGCAATTGGGAAACATGTAGGAGGTTGTGTTCCTACCTGTAAGAGGAGATTTTATAATATGATTGTGAAGTATGTAGACAGCTTCCTGGAAATATGAACTCACCTTGCGCACATATTCGGTTTCCTCTGTGATATGAGCCGCTGTAGATCCATACATGTAAAAAATGTCATCTTCTGGCGGCCTCTCATCAATTCTTTTCAGGTAACTTCTTTCAGTAGATGGAATCAGAGTCATTCTTACAGTGGGTGCTGCAGATTTCTAGAATAATAATAATAACAAGAATAATAGAAAATAATAATAATACAAGTAATAATAATAGAAGAAGAAAAAGAATAGGAATAATAATAACAACAAGAACTACAGCAGCACATTGTTTTATAGAGTAACTGATATACATAAACATACAAATGCCTGCTTATGTAACATTAAGCACAAACTTTATTTTTGTTTCACTCGTTTCCCCCATCAAAACTAAACAGGGCGGATGAAGGAATCTGCACTGCCAGATATTGTACTTAGACAGCCACCAGCATCCTGTTCCATCCCCGAGCTCTAGATGATCACTATGATGGGCTTCCTAACTAAGCAAGAGTGTGCCATGGGAAGAAGCCCCAATCACAATTTCAGGAACACTATGTGCCTGTTAAAGAGCCCCGGAATGTGCATTAGATGTTCAAGCATTGCAAATTATCTCAACATGATAAATAACTAAAACTGAATAATACAGACCCTTCCTATTTCAGACACTTCAATAAACGAGGCCCATTGCATCTTACAAAACCTCGAACATATTTCAGTGGTGTTAAAAATAGCAAGACAAGCCGGTGCAGCTCACAGCAGTTTTTCCAGGTAATGATAAGTTCATCAAGCACATGAAAAATTTGAGTCCAACACCCGCCAGATATTCTGGAAATATACCAAATTAGTTGGCACTAAATATTCCTGGAACCCTATACTGAGAGGTGTTAGTATGAAGATCCCTTTTCTTGTCTACTGCAGGTGAAGGGCGGATGAATGTGAGGAGATCACCCACGCCAGGTTTTAGGATGTTTACAAGAGTTCAACATTCTACATGACATGTGCAGGCTGGAGAACTAAAAACAACATAAACTGGGCTGATGCAACTAAAAACAAGGGCTGGCCCCATCCTGTCTAGATACTCATATGTCTAAGTAAGGGCTTCCCACTCCCTTCACCCTTCCCTTCATACCTCCCAACATTCTACCATGAGAAAAAGGGACAAATTATAGCACAGACTGTGTAGTAGAAGAAGAGCTCACCTCATCCCAACCCAACCCTCAGCTGGACCATGAAGAATAAACACAGAAAAATGATTGACCTAACCCACAAGTGGTTTTTCTTTCCAGGTATTAACATGTAATAGAGGTTGGATGGGAGGCTTAGTGCAGTAGTTGGTGGTTATTAATATATTTTTATAGAGGTTTGTACATCACATCAAAAAAGGATAGCTCAGGAGATAACAGGACAAGGTGATCTGGTTCTAAAAGAGGAATAGTCCCTCCAATCGGAGAGCTGAGAACTTTAAGTGATTGTGTTTACTTATACTTTAAATGTACCTAATATCCTATCTATCTATCTATCTATGCATCTAGGGCACATATATTAATGATAAGGCCCGCGAGCCAGAAATGTCGCGCCACGAGATTTTATTAGGCCCGCCAGTCCAGAGCTTTGTTGTGTGGCAAGCAGGGTTGTTGTTGTTTTTTTTTTTATTCTAGCCTGTGCTCAGGCAGAGAGGCAATTCAGCCGGCTGCCCTCTGAAGACCCTGCACTGCCCTCCTGGGCCGCAGGTTTTTCCTCGACCACACCTTCCTCCTGGGCCGCAGGTTTTTCCTCGACCACACCTTCCTCCTGGGCCGCAGGTTTCTCCTCGACCACACCTTCCTCCTGGGCCGCAGGTTTTTCCTCGACCACACCTTCCTCCTGGGCCGCAGGTTTTTCCTCGACCACACCTTCCTCCTGGGCCGCAGGTTTTTCCTCGACCACACCTTCCTCCTGGGCCGCAGGTTTCTCCTCGACCACACCTTCCTCCTGGGCCGCAGGTTTCTCCTCGACCACACCTTCCTCCTGGGCCGCAGGTTTTTCCTCGACCACACCTTCCTCCTGGGCCGCAGGTTTCTCCTCGACCACACCTTCCTCCTGGGCCGCAGGTTTCTCCTCGACCACACCTTCCTCCTGGGCCGCAGGTTTTTCCTCGACCACACCTTCCTCCTGGGCCGCAGGTTTCTCCTCGACCACACCTTCCTCCTGGGCCGCAGGTTTCTCCTCGACCACACCTTCCTCCTGGGCCGCAGGTTTCTCCTCGACCACACCTTCCTCCTGGGCCGCAGGTTTTTCCTCGACCACACCTTCCTCCTGGGCCGCAGGTTTCTCCTCGACCACACCTTCCTCCTGGGCCGCAGGTTTCTCCTCGACCACACCTTCCTCCTGGGCCGCAGGTTTCTCCTCGACCACACCTTCCTCCTGGGCCGCAGGTTTCTCCTCGACCACACCTTCCTCCTGGGCCGCAGGTTTCTCCTCGACCACACCTTCCTCCTGGGCCGCAGGTTTCTCCTCGACCACACCTTCCTCCTGGGCCGCAGGTTTCTCCTCGACCACACCTTCCTCCTGGGCCGCAGGTTTCTCCTCGACCACACCTTCCTCCTGGGCCGCAGGTTTCTCCTCGACCACACCTTCCTCCTGGGCCGCAGGTTTCTCCTCGACCACACCTTCCTCCTGGGCCGCAGGTTTCTCCTCGACCACACCTTCCTCCTGGGCCGCAGGTTTTTCCTTGACCACACCTTCCTCCTGGGCCGCAGGTTTTTCCTCGACCACACCTTCCTCCTGGGCCGCAGGTTTCTCTTTGGCCGCAGGTTTCTCCTTGGCTGCAGGTTTCTCCATTGTCGCACCTCCCTCCTGGGCTCCAGTAAGTCTCGCTGTGTGTATCCAGGACTGACTGTATGTGAAGACACTACAAGTGTCAGCAGTCCCTGTCCATTTAAGGAACTGGGGCTGCTGCCACTTGTAGTGTCCTTACACACAGGGCCGTCATATACTGGGCAGGGAGTGCTGCCACTTGTAGTGCCCTCAGACACAGGACAGTCATATCATCAATATATGACAGTACTGGTGTCCTGCATGTGAGGGCACTACAAGTATCAGCAGTCCCTGTGCATTATAGGACAGTCCTGTGTGTGAGGGCACTACAAATGTCAGCAGCCCCAGTTCCTTAAATGGACAGGGACTGCTGTCCATCTATCTATCCTATGACATATTTCGTGTAGGCTGTATCACAGCATGGAACATGACTTTATGGAACAATGAAGAAGCGGACAGACATTTTCCCAAATGTGTGGATATTGTTACAGAAATGTCTGCAGGCAGAGTCCTGGTTTCCTCTGGCCATCCTTGGTGACTGGTGAGGGAAGCCCTAGGGGTGAGACTCTAAAAGCCAAAAAGGAAAGCCAGGTTTTCCCAGGTTCTGAGGACTACTTTTCAGGGAAAGAGACTGTACAGCACAGAATCATGTAACAAGAGGCTGCAGTCCTACCTAGAAGCAGTATGTGAATCCTCCTGGCTCTGGGCCTGCAATGGATCGGCAAAGATTGTGTGCACAGCTACTGTATTTTCTGCACAGCATTAGCAATGGAATGATTATACTTTTTGCCTGAGGCCGCTCTATAAGGTACATTCAGCACAGAACGAAAAGCATTTATTGGAATGACCTCACACATCGCAGTCTGATGTACGGAAAATCTTAGAAATCCTTTTCGTTTATCTCCACTCTAGCAGAACATCCTACACATCTCTCTATAAGATACAATCAAAATGAATGCAGCTTATTGTACCGGCTTGCAGAGCTGGCTCATCAACAGTGCCGTATGACCTCATACCCAGAATTGTTCATTGTTTGAGCAGAAACAAACGCTGACCTGAGGCACAAGACTCATAAGTAGTCAATAAACACAGGGATTAAAGGGACAAGGACATTCCCTGTGCACGTGTTTTCATTTGTCTCTCAAACACGTCTTCTGCAAGTCATTGTTCAGCATAAAGGTGCCCAAAGACTTCCACATGCACTGGCAATGGGCTCAACTGAGTCTCAATGTTAATGGACAGGATGCAACTCATCAGGTGGTGGGGGGTGTAGATTATGATTGGTGGGATGTTGTGTGCGGGGCCCAGATGCATCCCACAATCCAAATCTCACATCTAATGCACACACACACACACACACACTTGCTACCAATTCCTTACTGACAATAGGATAGCCGGGAGTTGCTATGTAAACGACTTGTCAAAAACAGACCATCTGACACAGTGTTTATAAACGCAGGATAGAGAGATACAAAGTAACATTGTTCCATACACCGATCAGCCATATCCATATGACCACTGAGAGGTAAAGTGAATAACATTGATTACAATGGCACCTGGAAGTGAGGGGGATATATTACAATGGCACCTGGAAGTGAGGGGGATATATTACAATGGCACCTGGAAGTGGGGGATATATTACAAAGGCACCTGGAAGTGGGGGGGATATATTACAATGGCACCTGGAAGTGGGGGGG